CCCCAAAACCCCAAAACCCCAAAACCCCTTGAAGCTTCTAAAGAATTGCAATGTTCAAAAAGAATATTTTAAACCATAATAATAATATTTATTACAAATGTCAAGATTGATGAAGAAATCAGCTAATTTTGCCCTTGACTCAGTCAGAGGGCTTGATATGTAAGCAATACAAAGCCAATATAACCTTGAGCTGTTGTGTTAGCAATACGCCAAATGCTTTGCTTTGGCTACATCTACATTCAGAGATCTCTTTTGGTTAAAGTACTTTACATGCCTTATAGGTACCCAAAGACAATCAAACTTACCTACAAAGGCAACGAGTAAGTTATTTATGCTAACAGCCTAGAGAGTTCAAAACCCTACTTGGAGGAGTAAAATCCATTCTGACAAATAGGTTGTATCTCTGGGAATCAAAGTGGTGATCCTGATCTACACATGGACAATGTTCAGCATCATGCTTTGTAAGTTCAATCTCTCACTCTATAGCAAACAAGAACAGTTCAAAGAGCATAAATACTTCTGTCAAAAGTAGGCAAAGAAACTTTATTGGTGAACAGAAATGATACACTTTGAAATATTTCGTATTTTTCTGTTCATCAGACATAACGCTTTGTATATCTCTCAAGATTTTTAATCATGGTCTTGGTATAAATAAAGTTTCTTACTCATGATGTTATCTCTTATATTAAGCTAGCAAATGTAGGGAATTCTTTGGCTTATGATTAAACAGTTTCAGTTTTGATTGAATTAGATACTCTAATATTGTATTTAGAACAGAAATAGAAATTTTAGAACTTTATTTTCCAAGTCTAAAAGTATCGGTGGAATTAAGTTTGAAATTCTCCGCTTGCTCTGAAAATTTTTACTTTGTCAGAGGTACTTTAAATATAAATATTAAGCCGGATTTATCACAAATTTGATAGGATAAAGCTAATAAACAATATCACCACTCCTTTAAGAATATTCCTTGAGTAAAATAAATGGGTTTTGTATGCTAATTGATATTAAAAATCTTTATATCCTCATATCCCTGTTTTACAAAACTAGTAGATCGAAATGAGAGCTTCTTCAATACCTTACAGCTGCTAAATAGCTAATCAAATCAGACTGTCTTGATTCCTTCATTTAATCTCTAAATAAATGTTCTAAATTACATAAGTCTGAGTGAAACTCTTGAATGCTAATAAAAAAATCTGAGAATCATTTCTTAACCAGAGAGGCAGCCTGCTGAATCAGTTGCTTCTTACAAGAACTTATTGGACTCACTTTTGTAGTTGTCTAACACTGTATAGATCTTAGGCAAGACAATGACATAGTTGAGCTACAGTAAAGCCTCATAAATATTTTAAGAAATAGCACATTTCAGTTTGCAGTATCAGGGATATTCAATGGCTCTGAGATTGACATTATGGCTTATCCAGAAGCATTCGTACCTGAAGTCAGAATTATCACTAAATTAGCTAGTATGTAACACTTAAGTCCCAATGAGACCTTCTGATCATGCAAGCTTTTAGATGAAACAAGTTACAGAAATGAGACCGTTCCTTTAGTCCAATGTGGAGACAACTTCAAGTACGATAACCAAACTGAGGTAGCCTATTCCTGTTTGACATATCTAGGTGAAATATCTTGGAATTAATGAATACTACTGCCCTCAAAGTAGGGACTTCAAAATGCAAGGGAATGTGCTCTCAGATGCATACCAATATTTCGAGGTCAATATTAATAGATGAGATAATGCCACAAGTTCAGTGACATGCTTCTCTTCAATCCTTATCAATCAACAGATTGAAGAACTTGAAATTGGAGTCTACGTGGTACAAGAGCTAGATTTATCATTTAGGTTAACTCATACTTTGACTTTGATGACTATAATAGTCCAATCAAGACCTACATTGATGACAGATTCTTTTATTATGTCGTCCCAGATAGAACATTAACTTCAAATGTATATGTCCAGTAAGCAACAACTTCTCATTTATAGGAAAAATGAGATTGAGACTCAGGATAACTATTTTGCCTACAAGCCTGGAGGCAAGAAGAGTGACATCTATGAGATCAGGAGAATAGACAACAGACTCTCTGTTGAGGACACTGCTTCCAATAACTTGTTGAGTAAGCATCTTGTATAACAATAGACTTGAAATTTATTAAAGATCCCTTCACACAGTCATACGATAGAGGAGTTATCACCATTTTGGATGTCATTGGGAACATCGGAGGACTGATGGGAATATTCGTTGTCGGAGGAGGGTTTATCGTCAATCTCTTCTCTGACAAGCTCTTCTTATACTCGATATTCTCCAATATGTACAAAGTGCAAAAGCCTTCAAATTCTTCGGGTAAGCTTCGCTCTGAATATATGTATGTTTGGTTAATCATTTACTTTGAATAAAATTCAGAGAGAATGCTCAAACTCATTCCTGAAAGGAATAATAAGATGTTATCTCCATAAACAGCCTATTAAATTCTTATTTTAGCGATAAATGCAACTTTACTCAAGATTAACCACTTTGGAAATGTAAGCACTCAATAAAATCTATAGCAGGAAGAGTTTGGAAATAAGGAGTATGCTTCATCTGAAGATCATTCAGAAAGTTATTCAAAGAATGGCCTAGCTGAGAAAGCCAAACAAGCGATGCTTAGACGAGCAAAATATGATTGGAAACTAACTGATCTTATCTACAACACTCTCAGTGTCTTCTCAGTTGTGTTCCGTTGCTGTCTCAACAAGAAGAACCCCATGAACATCCACCAGAGACTGAAGCTGTTTGAGATTGCAGAGCAGAAGTATGTCAGAGAACTTGATGCAGTTGAGTTTTCGAAGAACATGCGCAACCTCAATACATTGGTGGCTTCACTACTTGACAAGAAGGAACAGCTGCTGGTGCAACACCAAAAGTCGAATGTGCTCATTTTAGATGAATCTGTAGAAAGTGAAGAAAAATCAATTACTGATGTTCCTAAACTGTTTTCTAAGTCACCTTTAATAGATAATTATGCTAAAAGGACCGATAAACTTATGGTAAACTTCTGGATAATATTTTAGGAAAAATTAAAACAAGAGACCTGGGATCCAAAGAGATACAGATTAATTAGAGGAGTGTACTCATCAAGACTTATGGAAGTAATATATTTTCTATGAAATTTTAGTCCCGTGCATCTTCACCTCTAGGTGAAGATCATCTCACTTTATTCGAAAAGAGGTCTCACAACACTAGTACAAGAAACGAAATTAAGGAGATTGAAGAGTACTGTAGTTTTAACCTTCTAGAGAATGAAAGGAACAAACTCATACTGCGCTGAATATACCTGAAAGTAAGTTTTCTCTTGCACTATATTGTTTCTCAAGGCAAATATCTAGGACATTCTGTGAAAATTCAGGATCTCAAGATGTCATCAGTTGAATATGAAGATTTCTAATTCAATTCTTTTTGTTATCTCGAGAAGTAGGGAAAGATGTTTGAAAAAGAGCCTTTGAGATATATAAGACTAATTTTTAGTTTGGTCCAAAAAAGTATATTCAATACAACCCTCACTTTTAGGGGTTTTGGGGTTTTGGGGTTTTGGGGTTTTGGGGTTTTGGGGTTTTGGGGTTTTGGGG